TTTGAATAACCCTATAAAAAAATTAATACGTCCATGTTTTATCCATAAATGTTACATATTTATGGAATTAAACCTTCAAATGACGGAAAATATTCAGCCTGCCGCATCATGTTGCAGACTCTTTGAATTTTTGATGAAATTAAAGAGATAAAATGGAAATATTCAAATAAATTTTTTTACGGGGTAAGTAAAAATGAATTATTCAATTAAGTTGAAATTTGAATTGTATAAAAAAAAATTAAAAACAAACCATGAATTTATGAATTTTGCTAAATAAAGACAGGACTATAAATAAAATTCTCAAGAAATTAATGCCAATATTGCTTACATACTTCGGAAGTGTTCAAGCGGGTTTTGGTCATTCAAGCATTTATCCACATATATTGTCAAATAACATGAGCAGGTAAAATTCAGACTCTTCTATATTTTAAATTCCATTAATATTGTAAATGTCCTTCCAATTGAAATTGGACACAAATTGTTGATATAAAATCGTATGAATATAGCTATACCTTATAGATCAGACACTAACAAAATATTAAGTCTAGATTCTGTAGCAATGTCACATCAAAGTTCGTTAGTAAAATTAAGTGAGATATTCGCTCCAGCAATAGGAACTGAAGGGTTGATAATGATAGAGAGTATCATTGAGATAACAATTTATTGATCTATTTCTAGATGTGACCACATAGAAAATGCATTTAATAGGATTAATAAATAAATAAATATTGAATTATGATTTTGGTGAAATAATTTGAGCGGCACTAAGAAAAAAAATTGAAATTTAAATATTGATTGTATCGGAACTAACTCGTTAATAATTGATCGTAATAATATTATCGCGGTTTTCGAATTAGTGTAATAATAGAATTTCATGAATCTGAAAATCCTCATATTACCATGAAGATAATATTCTTAACAAAAATCTGTCAAAATCAAACTTGCTAAAAAATAAGCAATTTAACGGTGCTGATAATTTTTTGATCAGGTGTGTTTATATGTTTTTGAATATTTAATTAAAATCAGAGTAAGGGTTGGTTAGGGGTTGAGGTTATGGCAAGACTTATAAGTAAAATTGCCTTTTATTAGTGCCCCGAAATAGGTCGTTTTCCTTATTTTTTGTGTCTTCACTTTTTTTTCTTTGTTTTTGTCTCGTCGGGCTGATCCGGGTAAATCAAAATTTATTACTTGATTGGCTGTTGATCACATGAACACACCTGGCTTTAGACGATCCCCCAAAAAGGAAATGTGATAGAAGCACATTACGTTTCACAACATTTTACATTGGTTATATATATCGGAGGCAAATACTGTTGTACTTAATTCATGTTCTTTTCAAAATGATAGCGTTACCGAGCGAATGCCTTTTTGAAATATTTAATAATTTACGAACTGATAATCGAACTGATTATAAAAGTTTATTTTC